AAAAAAAAAAAAAAAAAAAGCGGCCACGAAAAACGATATTTCTGCCTTTTCAAACTTGGGGCCTGATGTTACCGCCTTGTAATGTTATGACTGCCTTTTCGAACTACGACCTTTTTTTCATTGCCCATTATGGTTTCTTTTGCCCTTTCAAACTTCATTTGTGACACAAACGTACTTGCCCCTACTATTAAACAACAAATTCAAACAGACATTTTGATAAAAAGGGATCATATAAAAGAAAAAGTGCAATTTTTCTCAGATAAAACCGAAATTCAGAATCATTTTCGAAAATTCACAAGTAAGTGGCTGGGCGGAAACCAGGGAAGGAGAATAGGGAGTGTTGTTTGGAATGGGGCAATGAAAGATGATAATGCTGGGCTCAAAAGGGACTATAAATTGGTTTTTGATGATTGGACCACCATTGAGGCTTCGGTACCTATGCGCCCCTTTTCAGATTTCCCTGATCCCTTCCCTCCCCCAGCATCTGCTCTAGTTCCAAGTTCTTGGTATGGTTTGTAAGGGATATCATTGCTATCTTCCTGGTGCATCATCTGGTTCCTTGGAAAAGGATGTTTACGAAGCTATTCTGCAGGTGGTTATGTCAGAACAGTTGTCATCACTTTTATCAGGATCATCTATTCAAATTAGTACCAGGTCTATGACGGGAAATCTGGCGCCACTCAGATGAGGGTGAAGAGGTACAGGGGACGCTGGGCCCGGTTCCCAGTATCTTTGGTTTCTATTGCTCATCATTATATGTCAAGGGACGCTGGGCCCGCTTTCCAGCAGGTGCAGCTCCCCACCAATAGATTGGAGCCCCTAGTGATTCTGGTAGGAGTGGATGCTTTTATCAACACTCCTATCAGTAATCAGTAGGTGATTTTAAAAAAAAAAAAAAGAAAAAAAATCTCTGTTCGTTTGGAAAAAGAAGAGGTCAAGTGTAGACTTCTCGTCCTCCCATCTCCGTGTTATTTCCATCTGAATTTGCCCGGTCATAGCCTTCTTTTTTTTTTTTTCAAAAGTGAGTTGATCCAGAGTCATTTCCTCACATCCCGGCAAACGTTCCCTGCGATAAGTATGAGATTGAGCCCACGCCAATTTTTGGCTTCATGAGCAAGGCACCAGCGGGTGCAAGCTGGGATGTCTAGATCCACAATTATAGCAAGGGGCGGAACAAATGGATATGGCGGGATCCTTTTGGCTATCTAAAGCTGAACAGAGTTGGGAACACCCCCCCGTTATGGGTGCTCCCACACAAACAACCCTCAGCTGTGGCAGCTGCTGGACCCGTGGTGTCGGATGCTTCCATCAGCAAAGCAATCGCCGCCATGATTCTCTTGGAGACCGTAATTGCCGAGGTATTGCGCTGGAATGGGGCCCCATAATATTACGCAGGTCCTCTCCGTGCAGCTCTCAAGCTTTCCGGTCTATGTTCACACATTGTACCCGATGCAATGGACGGAGGGATTCTGAGTAGTTGTGTGGCACAGCTGCTGAAACGCATGAAGTCTCAGTGAAACTCGGTGGTGGACCGCCAACTCAGCCGGATGCTTGCAGATCAAGATCAACAAGCTGCACTTGGGAACATAGGGTAGTGGTGTGAGGTGTGAGCTGCGAAGGCTGCACCGCAGAGACTGATCAGGCTGGTTGCTGTTCAAACTCGTTCGGGTAGTGGCGTGAGGTGTGATTCCTTCCCGAACGAGTATGAACAGCAACCAGCCTGATCAGTCTCTGCGGTGCAGC